CTGTCGTGAGTTTCTCGTTGACAGCCAGTTTCAACAAAGCCCATAAGTGATCGAGCATGGAAGGGTCATGTGTCACTGGTCCAGTTCTCTTTTATAAGTAATAGCGGCTTTTTTCTCCACAGAGGCACAGACCTCTGCATTTCTTTTCTAATGTCATGGCTGAGGATCTTACATAATGTTCCAGGCCATTGAATAATGTTCCTTTCAACTGCCTGTGTGAATGTCTCTAAAAGAAACAGCGATGTCAGAAAAGCTTTGAGAACTGTTGGAACAGAACACTTTAAAAAAAAAACATGACGATAATTAGCACAGAATTAACCATCAAGCCTCCTGTGAATTGAATTGTCAACAAACAATCAATGTCAATGATGCTTTCCTCTCTGGATTTGCTGTTCAATTTACATGTTATTTTATCCAAACGTACAGTTTTAATGAGGTATCGACAAAGAACACCAGGCCAGGGTTTGCTGTTAATTCAGCCCCAGGGTACACTTTCTAAACCCTGTCAATAAAGCTGCTTGATGTTGCTTAGCAAAGGAAGCTGTGAGTGTGCTGTGAGGCACTGGTAACACTGCACAGCTACAGGCTGGACTCCAGCAAGGCTGTCTTGAAATCCCGGGAGCTGTGCTAGTCATCCCTTGTGCCGGAGAGAACCCCTGTAGTCTGAATTAACCATTCAGCGACCGCCCTGGACGTACAAGAAAAGGAAAAGAAACAATTTCAGAATCCAAGATTCAGTTTAGGAGGCACAGCGATGAAAAAAAAAACTGTCAAAAAAATAAGAACACATGAAAAATAAGCTCTATACGGAGAACAAGATCAAAAGGACTTGGTATTTTAGGATTATTAAATGCACAACATAACGCAGTGTTTATTCTCAAGTGGTGTGCTAAAGAGAAGAAAAAGAAACGTTTAGACACAGGATGATGAGGTTTCTGCTTTTGGAAAGGAAAAAAGATCAGCAGTTTCTCCATTCTTTTTACCTTTCGAACAGACCGACAATACAGTAGGTCGAGGGCTTGCCGTGCTGCATTTATAAAGCTGTCTTGTTTTGATTTACGTGCTAAAGAAGAGCGGCGCATGTTGCTCTCTAATTCTGCAGACACGACACTAGACCCATTACTTTGCAACGCAGCAGGTGTCCTGTGAGCACTGCATATGAAACCGCTAATCCCTAGCATATTTAACACATAAGGAACTACATATTGGTTTTGGTCCCTGGAAGCTGAACTGCTTCAATCACTGAGCCATAATTCTCTTTTTCCTCAGGTATGGGTTTTGATTTTGGGCTCCTGCTTGATTGATTTGCGGAATAACCGTCTGGCGGGCTGTCACTTGCCAGACTGGGAACATTAGTACCGTAATGACAGCATAACAAATTGCGCCGCACTTCTGTTTTCCACAGTGCACGGTTCAATCCTGCTTCACCTGACACCAAATTAACGGCACATGTTCACCCTCTTCCATCTCTCATGGCACCATGTCATCCCAGAGCCTAATCTCTGTCACTCCCTGTGAAATCTCACAGCTGTGACATTTAATTGGGGACAAAAATTGCTGGAAAGAAAGGTGGTGAAGGAACAAGTGGTCGGACCAATAATATTTTCTGTCAGGTTTTGCAGGTTGCATTCACATTAATGGCCTTAACAGTCATGATGAATCCAAACTGAATCTTGCAGGGATAAGGGCAGGAGATACTGTACACTACATGCCATAAGTTCTAATATGGATCATGTGTGGGGGGTCTGGGGCAGACCTACCCACATGAAAGGTTAGGGCAGAGAATTTATCATGCTTTCTCTGCACATTTGCTATGGTTTTAGCTTCTTTCTGCCATGTTTTCTCCTAGTTTCAATGTTCCGATACAATATTTTTCTACACTAGACCACGAAAATACCACAATGTTTTATAAATACGGTATGTGAGTCCAGGAGGCCAGAGAGAAACAGATGTGACCACTGGGAGATCATGCAGACTCTGCACTGCAAGATGCCCTAGCCTGGAATCGAACCCAGGACCTGTACGGTGACAGTATGTCAATGCAAAGGCAAACCAGAGAAAAAGTACTGTACAACAAAGTCAAGCTTTGTACAGTAAAAGTGCAAATATCCTGTATTAAATTTAACACAGAAAACTTCTATAGTGCCAAGAATCCTGTTGTACAGCCTGGGTTTCAGCTCTTCCCCAGGCATCTTCCAGCTTTCCTTCCACCTGAGAATTATTTTACACCTCCACACATTAAAAAAATGTCTGCTTACGCACTTCAACGCAGGTGTCAAAGACGTCATTCAGAGCTCATGTGGAGTAAACTCTAGACATTGCAGTAGTTCTCTGGGTACAGTATGTCTTTCTCTTAGCTGCTCCATGGCCTGTTGGAGCTTTATGCGCTTGTGTGCTTATGTGTTGGGTGGAGGAAGTCAGGTGGGGAAGCATTTCAATGACGCACGGGATCAGCACATGTCCTTCACAGCAGGATGTGGAGCTGAAGATCAAGGCACAAAATTGATCAGGCGAATATGGAAAAGCAGAGGACATGAATTAATCCATGAGGTGGCATGTGGTCTTGATTTTAATACAGGCCTGAATGTCAGAGCTGCACAAGATACTGCTGCTCAGCAGGACATCTTAAACTCCCTGTAGAGAAACACAGGCCCAGTGGCTACAATCCAGACAGTTTTAGTCCCTAATCCCTCTCGCTGGAATGATCTCATTATCACTAAAGAGTCCAGCTCCCTTTGGAACAGGGAGATCAACTTACAGAGAAATGTGATGTCTTATCCTTGAGTCGTTTTGTAATTTTGCTGCTGTTACATTTTTGCTCATAAATGTAAATGCTGTTGTTTTATATCCCCCTGATTTTAGCTTTATCAATTTCTGGTGTCAAGTAACAGCATTTATACTGTAAAACACCGCCTTGCATTGTTCCCTACATATTGTTTTTAAATGAAATTCCTCTCTGACGGGCTTGTGTAATTAAAGTCTATCGTATGAGGGGTAGTCTATTTGATGAAGCACGCAGGCAATACACGGGAGAGTTTAAATAGCTTTTAAAAAAGTTTCAGCATATGGTGCTGTGGAGCACAAAAAATTGCTTAGTTGAGAGCAAGGTAACGTCTGAGCATGCAGGCTTTAATGAGGCTCTCTGGTGCCTTCTTCCTGCAGACTCAGGAAACATACCTGCCCCCCATGCAGGGAATTACTCAGGAATCGCAGAAGGTGGACCGAGCAATGCAGGGAGAGGTCTGGAAGGCAGAACAGCTGCTTGTGCCCAGAATTTATCTTCTCATGTTGATGAACTAGAGCTATTACAGGATATTAGAGGGTAAAACTGACCTTTTAAACAAAACGATTTCATCTTTTTTTTTGTTTTGCAAAAACACTTCCAGCCAGCCCATACTGCAATTTCATTTTTTAAATTATTTTGTTCAATTTGTCTTACTCTACTGGCCCATTCATGTGTGGTGTTTCCTTTGTGGTCACACTCGGCAGCAATCACTGTGGGTTTTGTAAGTCTTGCAGGAACAGGGGCACCAGCTAAGTTCATAACTAACAGTTCACATAGCATGGAAAACCCAAACCCCTCATGCAAATCACAGCTGTGGCCCTGCCGATCCTGCTCAGAACTGGGGCAGCGTGTGATGTTGCTTCTGACGTGTTTGAAGGACCGGGGACCTAACCATAGTCTCAGAACTTGATTTTTCTTAGGATAGAACTCCCATATGAAGAACATACCATAAATACTGTATATATATATATCCATGAATTGTATTGGGCTGGTTTGAAAGCATTGTTTTGTCACAATCTATCTGTGCGTCTGCTAAAAGATTTACAGACAAGTGCCACTGCATGGGACAGGTTCTATTGTGCTCTTCGAGTGCAGAGCTGGGACAGCGTGCAGGATGCAAAGGAGCGATCAGATGTTCAGTCCACATTGAAAAGGGGAGGGAGTGTGCAGCTTTCGTGGTGTCCTCCACTTGATCCAGTGTACTTACAGTCGCCCCTGGGCCTCCAGTGTGGCAGCTCGTCACTCTACACAGCCTGCTGAAGTCTCCGCTGAGAGCTGCATTTACCTTGTATTGAAACCGCAGGGATGGGTTGTGTTTCTTGTAATGTGTTGTTCTCAGTACCAGGTGGCGTGACGCTCGGCGTGCTACAGAGGACGTAGAAGCCCTGATCTTGCCGTCTGTGAGGAGGAAGCGCTTCTTCACTCTCTGTCCTGTTAGGAGCTGCAACACTCTCTGCAGAGCAGAGCCAGGCCGAGCGCCCAAGTCAGGCTCAATCAGTCAGGACTGGGTCTCCCTGCTGGTGTGACACGTGCTCCCCTCCCCGCTCCTCCCGGGATTCTGACGGTCTTCTGCCATGGAGTTCTGCACTGTCTAGATGCCTGCTCTAGCCCTGCCAGCACACTGAGCCCTGTGACGCTGGAGGGAGGCTGGAAGAAGATCACTGACTTAGGCAGAGATTACTTCTGTGTGTCATGTGTGTGTGTGTGTGTGTGTGCTCATAGCTCCTAGGAAACATGCCTGTAGCCCTTGCAGGACTGGTCTTCCCAGCCTCAGTCAACCCAGGGATCTTCTCATGTTCCCTCGCCTTTACTGACTTCTTTAGAACTTCTTTAGCTAAGGACGTAGTTTTTGCTTTCAAGAATTTTATGCCTAAACGTTTGCTGTGAATTTGGACAGGTAAACTGAAATCTCCCGGCAGTCTCGGGGCTAGGAGAAAATTGAAGGGAATTGAAGTGGAAAGCAGCGGGGGGAGTGAATTCACCGAGAGCTCATCTGGAAGAAACAGGCAGCAGATGCTGGGGGTCACAGCCACTGTAGTGGGGAAGGCATGCTTTAGGGCATGGAGCTCAGTGCACAGGCTGCTGCATGTCCCTTTATTATTAATGAAATTTGTGAATAAGACAGGTCAGGCAGCTGCAGTTGGACGAGAGAAACAAAAGAAGGCTTAAAGGTTACTAGACATCTGCAAATATTAGATCTGGCGCAAAGACGCTTTGTAAATGTTACATTATTGCTTGCCCAGCAGTCCAGCTTGATCCCCAGTAGATATATCCTTTGTCTGAAACATACCGTATGCCTTAGATGGGATTGCTGTTGTTGCTGTTCTCGCTAGCATGGCCACTCTCCGGGGCCGGGTCCTGGCTTTGATTCTGGTCAGGTGCTGTCTGTGTGGAGTTTGCATGTTCACCCCTGTGTTAGTGTGGGCTTTTTCCAGGAGCTCTGCTTTCCCCCCACCTCCTAAACACACTCAACAGGGAGGTTGAGAAAGGGAGCTGGGCAGCTTTACTGTGCTGTTAGGAATAGCTCTGATGCCTCTCCTATTTGATTATATTGCTGTTGTCCTTAACATTGTGTACAGACCCCGCCACATACACAGACACACACATTTTCTTGTGCTCCTACATCGTAAGGCTGGGCACCATCGAAATCCTGAGCTGCAGAACAGAATTCACCCTTCAGTCTTTCTGGACTTCTGGACTAGATCTGTGGACTAGGTGGAGTTGAAAAATATGAGAAAACTGAACACTCTAGCAACAGCATAGAAAAGTGCTAGAGAGTAATGTTTCAGAGCACCTGACTGTTAGCTGTGTCAATCTGAAAGCATCAAGTCTTTTGGACAAAGCTGATAGTTTAATGTCACTTGGAAAGGTTGCAACAGTAGCATGAAAGCTGGAGTGTAAAATGTGTTACTGACTTGATTTATAACTTCATTGGCCTGGAGCTCCAATTAAGAAGGGGAGGCAGATGGTTCTTGAGCTGGTCACAGCATGGGGATCAATTCTTCCTGAGACTGGGGGACACAAAACATCATATCTGATATACACTGATGAGGCAGCGGACAGTGAAGCACTAAACCAGCTGTTAAGGGGAGCTGTGTTTTTTGTTATGCAAGACCCTCTCTCAGGTTCACAGATCACAGCCCTAATTAAAAAGACTGAGGTCTGAATTTAATGCATTTAAAAGAAAAATAAATTATTGAGGAAGAAAAAGAGGTGACTCCTGCTTCTTTTATCATCAATCGGAAGCCTTATGAACAACATCAAAGACTTTTCTCCTCAGCAGGATCTAAGCCTGGGAGTCAGGGGTAAGACAACATATGTGTGTTTTCCGGGGGTGGGTGGGGTGGGGCAGTATCCAGGTTTTAATCGCTCACAGCTCTAGGATGTCGGCGGTTTGCCCAGGTCAGCACGAGCGAAGAGCAGGCTGGAAAACCTTGTTTGGAGCGAGAGTGAATATGTGGACATAGAGCCGGCTTCGTGAAAGAAATAACAACCCCCAGGGGCGCCCGCAATGTCCCCCTCGGCGCGCGCCGGGCTCCGTCACTGCGGGGAGGCAGCGAGCTGGAGGGGTGACTGCTGGGATAGATAGAGATAGATAGATACTTTATTGATCCCGTGAGGGAAGGGCTGAATTCGCTGACCCTTCCAAGCCTCACATCATCCCAGGCCCGGCACAGACCGTCTCTTCAGGGCTGTTTACATTTTAATGCCTCATCATTTCCGCAGCATTGACTTCAATTCCCCTCCGCTGACATCCCCTGCCAAACGGCGCTTGATGCCCGTGATGATGGGCCAGTTTATTCAAGGGACGGCTAATGGCAGTTTAGTTCTGTTGCGCTTCATCTGAGCTGCCGCAGCGCTGCTGCCAGGATCCTGGCCCTGGCCTGGCTGACTGGACCCACACGCAGATCCTCCTCCCTCTCCAGCGCCAGCTGATCCGCGCTCCTGCGTGAAAGAAGAGCTGGACCCCTGTGCCAGCTCCCCGGCTCTGCCGCGCGGCCCTGCTGGGTATAGTTAACACACTTCATAAGCATCTAAGCATCTGACATTTCTGGGATTAGGAGTCGGTTGGCATTCCAGTGCATTGGCACTCAGCAATATTCCGGTTTGTGCCCTAATCCCCCTGGAATCGCAGTTTCTCCTAGCTAAATAGAGCTTTGTAAATAGCACAATATTTAGTTTGTAAACTTCCCCCTCCCCTCTTGATAATAATCCTTTATTTAACCAGATAAGTCAGTTTAGCACAATTTCTCAGTAATGGGCCAGCTCGGCAGCTCTTTGAGAACGTCTTCAGACAACATATAGAACAGTGCATTACACATTAAAGCTGTGTGTCTGTGAATCAGAGTTCAAGAGAACTGCCTTCCCTTTTCATCACAAGCCATTAAAATATCCTTGATTTAGGGTCTTTGAAATATCCTGTACTGTTGGTATATTTTACAGTACCTCACAAGTCTCCCTTCACACTTCTAGGGCTGTAGGCAGGATCTCTCATGTCTGTAAAACTCTCATGTCCTTGTCTTCCCTTGTCTTCCTCGTCCCCAGTGAGTGAGCACAGTTGCAGCATCTGCACTCTGGTCTGGTTTGTCGTTCATCTCCATAAAGCTTTGATTCGCCCCACGGGAGAGAGGGGAATCTGGAGATTCAACCATTTCCAGAGGTTTTAGTCCGCAGGTGTAGTTTTTGCTGTATCAAACATGGGGGGGCTTTCGGCGGCATTATTCCACATGACAATGTTGGACCGTTTGAGTTTAAGGACAGGCTAGTCGGAGCTTGAAACACACTCTTTAATTATGAAACTCAGTCAGCTAAGTGTCGCGGATGCTTTCACGCTAAATGAAATATGGTGTCCTCCTATGAGGATCTTTTTTTTCAATCAAACTGTAATAAAAATGTAGGGAGCGCTCCAGATATATTGTGGCTTTCTGCCATAACATTGTAAATTTCCTTCTGGTGCCAGTGCTGTCCAGAATACAAACTGAATGTTACACGGTAAGGTAAGAACATCTCTTTTCAAAGCTTATTTTGGTATACCACAGTAAAAAACAGACTGGATTTCCTATTCAAATGTAGTTATTCACATGATGAGCTGTAAGGTGACCTTACAGTAACTTCGAACCTTCAATTACAAGATGGATTACAACGTTTACCTCATTACTTTAGCCAAAAACTGGGGCCTACTGTCACAAAACACACCTTTGGCAAAAAATGGACATCATCACAGGATGACAATACAAAGCCTCGATCACACCCAGTGACAAAACGCTCGAGAGAGTGTAAAAACTCAGTGCTGCTGACTGGCTACCTCATTCTCATTCTCTAGCCTCAGGTGGAATGTTCGGCCGAAGAAGGTTGAACACACAAACTGGAATTTCACATGGTGGAATGGTGAAAAATCCCTCAATCACTCAATTTACTGCATCAAAATATTAAAAGGCTGGAGGCTGCTGCAGCCAGAGGAGGACACAATAAATACTGATTACTGGGGTACAAAACACTTTAAACACCACGAATTGTGAAATACATGTTAACAGCTTTTAACATATGTTCTGTTGAAACGACAGTACGGAGAGACATGCGCGTCTTTGTCTTTTTATTTGTTTCCATAACAGATATTGAAGGTACATCTGGATTTTCAGGCTAAATCATCTGTGAGTGATGGTCCAACATGAGTATGAATACATGTTACTGTAGCATAAACTCACCAAGAGCACCACAATACAATATAGTCGTACGAAAGACGTGATCAGTAAGAATTCAGGCAAATAAAAAGCATTCCGTCAACATGTTTACACCACAGAGCAAGCGTCAGACTGAGCACTGTTTTAAAGGATTCTTCCAAACTGTTTTGCTATGAATCCCATTTGACAGCTCTGTCGGCAGTTTAGTCCTCCTTTGTCTCCTGAGTTAACAACTGCTGTTAGTCTTCTGTTATTAGTTTCAGAACACTACTGACAGAGCACTGAGGTTTTACATTTTTATTGAGGATGAGGTGCAGTGAAGCTCTCCATACTTTTAAAGCTGCTTTGTTATGCAATTAAATCAGTAATCAGTGCATTACAATGTAATAACTATGTATCTAGAAATTCTGTAGAGTATCCTTTTCTTACACTGCCTTATATTTACTGTTCAATACTATCAACTGCTGTAGAATTCTGTAACACTCTTTGTCTAACTGCTGCTAAAGGCTCCATTGCAAATTAATTGATTGAATGTAATTTAATTGCAAAAGCATTTGCATTTCTATCACTATCAAGTTCATACAAGACTGCTTTCTTTTAATGTGAAATTGGAACCAAAACCACACAATATCACACTTGCATGTTCTCTTCTTCCTACAGATTTATTGTCAGTGAGTGTGGGTGCAGCAAAAAAGAACATTTGTCTTCATAAGTTTCCAATTTCATGAATGCAGAGGGGAAAAAAATCAGGTTATCTGTAAATTAGTTTGACCGAGATTGCTGTCAGGACCTGGTTCTCTTTAAACCAGCCTTCTGTCACATTGCCTCCAAAGATTACTAAATTAAATTCCTCACACAGCCAGCAACATGAGAGAGGGACTGCGTGCCTCTGCTATCTCCATCGGTCTCTTGGGCACTCTTTCAAAACCAGAGAGCTGAGACAATTTATCATAATGTCAACTGCCGTAGGAGAAGCAAGAGCTTGCTTCCTGTTGTGAGAATACAGTTGAGCTGTTAGAGTTCAGAGTCTGTCATTAAAATACCAGTCGCAATGCATGTGCTGCCTATAGTCGCTCCAGCAAAAGAGGCTTGCACCAGTGGCAGAAGCACTAATAGGAGCCACCATGTACATCTCCCAGGGGCAGGAGAGAGGGTGAGATGTACACATCTCTCTTGTGGCGCACAACTGCATTGCTGGCACTCTTCTGTTGGGACATTCAGCTACTCCTTCAACTGCTGGAGCTCTCAGACTGATGTTTTTAAAGCTTTCCTCATGGTTGTCTGCAGAAGAGCTTGACAGACCTCTTTCTTTTGTGTATCAATAACAAAGCAACATCACACTGCAGACGCTGCCCTGTGGGTCCAGCTTCTAAGGGTTTTAAATATTAACAAGGATGTTCCTTGCTGTTTTCTGCCCATCCATTTCTGCCAAACTCGCACAGCACTGAGAAGACGAGATGCAGCCCATGTGTCAGTGTGTAGGTGTTTGTGGGAGTTGTGTGTGTGTGTGGGGGAGGTGTGTTGGGGGGGGTTAATTGTTTCAGTGCATGTCTGTGTACGTACAGAGAAAAAATGAAAAATGCAAGAAAGACCGCACAGTATTTGAAAATGTATGCCACGAAGCACCTGAATCTATTAGACATATCTTTTTTAAATTACTGCTTGCTTGAATTAATAATGGATGAATCAATACAAAGGCAGACCTCTCAAGAAACTGACCTGTTGAGGGTTTTCTGATCTTCTGGGGGAAGTAAATACAGAAGTTTGTGGTGTAGTCATGCAAAAACACTGCTGACTGCAATGCAGCATAGAATAGAAATATGCTTTTCATAATTGGTTAGGTCGTTGAACCAGAGAGGGTTTTGGGGAGCACCACACTGATTTGCTCGACTCTTCATTTGGAAAAAGCAGTATCTGGCAGCAGGTCTGAACAGTCATGCAGTCTGCGTGTAGAAGGGCACTGACGACAGCAGCTCTAAGGCGAGGTCGAGGGTTGCGGGGTGAGTGCAGAAGACAGCGAGAGGGGCTGTCTCCCTGGAGCTGCAGCTCTCTCTAGTCATCACTTACCAAACACCACTGGAGCTTCTCACGTTTCCATGGCGCCCAGGCTGGCAGCAGCATCTCTTTCATGAGGGTCTTCTGCAGCTGGGCTCCTGGGGCTTACGGGTCTAGGGAAAAGGTTAAAGGTCGTCTGCCAGGAGACAGCTGAGGACCCTGGCAGAGTGGCCTGTATCTTCTGGGGATCTCGGGAATTCACATTGTTCTCCTATTGTACACTTTGAGCAGACCTGGGCACTAGCAAAAAATCACAAGCATAAAAATCCTAACTAAAACCCGCCGAGACTGTACAATGACTGACTAGAGTATTGCTGATGTTATGCTACATTGCCGCACAGACTATAAATACGCAGCAGAAGAGAAAATGAACTACCCTATAGAATTGCATACTTCCACTAATCCTAAAGGACCCACTCCCTCCCCAGCCAGAAGAGAAAAGAAATAGTATAACACTCAGTGAGGGTGGGGGTCCTGACTCACTTCTCTTCCCTACTGTGAAAGGAGTTTTGAGAGCAAGTATGGTCTACAGCTGAAGCAGACCTTTAGGGTTATCTTCTGGGAAGGTAAAGCTACTAGCGACACCTGCTGGAAATCTTTAAGCACTGTCTTGTTTGTGCAACAGAACAGCTTGTTGTAACAAGCCCAGGGAAAGGTTAATTACCAATCACTTGCTTAGAAACACCATTTTACTGTTTTTTTTTCAAATATTGATTATTGCACATGATTAGCTGTTCTGTCTGGTTCTTCTAATGTAGCACACGTACAATAGTTCATCCATAACTGCAAAATCAATTAGGCAACAGCATTGCAGAAGCCCTGTTGTAATTTAGGGTTAATTAGAACATATTGGAGTTGCCCCTCAGAGCATCGCATTACTTGATTAATAGGATGGCAGTTAATTAACATGGAAAGCACTTGCTTTAAAATGCAAATTATGAAAAGTGGATTTTAAGCAAAATGTATGGTCACCCTAGTGCATTAAAACCCATTGCTAGCAAGAGGAAAGAGAAATAATAATTAGATAGTGGGATTAGGTATTAAGGTCTGGGTTCCCTTTGCTTGTGAAGTCTGATTGAATTGAAACGGCTGAAACACTAATGCTCCCCTGCATTCAACAGTTTGTCAATTGATTGAGATGCAGAAAACAAAAATGTTACGTGGATATACAGTATACCGTCCAACTAAAACAAAATACTATTAAAAATCCCTTTTGTAGGAAAGCAATCCAAATTGCCTATTCATTTCCCTTGTAAAAAAGCACTGTTAGGGATCACCTGTAACCCAGGAATATATATATCTGACCTCAGTCAATAAATTTCTGAATGTATGCAATCACTGCCATCAATAGTGTGTCACAATAGTTCTCCAGCTGTTCAGCTTATCTGTGGCTGTTTGAGCTGTTCAACTCAGGAGCTGAACAGCTGGTTTTGAAGGTTTGCTTACATCTTCATGGCCCAAAGAGCCAGGAAAAGGCGTTAATCACCTGTTAAGACAATACTTAGATCAATTGGGTAGATAAGAGATTTGATGAGATGAGAACCTGCAGATACCGTTGTCCACTAGGACAAGATTGTCCAGTCCTGGTCGGGGGTGGTTGGTGTGTCTGTGGGTTTTCAATCTGCAGTATCTCAGCCCCTAACGAAGTAAGTCAGTTAATTACTGGCTAAACTGAGACAACGGGACTGCCTCTCCTCTCTCTTCGGGTGCGGTTGCTGCCGACACTAGGCTCTCCAGTCTAGGGATAGAGGGACAAGAGACACACCCGGACCGGCGCTCTAACACGTGACTCGCGCAGCCCTGCTGAAAGCGCTGAGGTGATCCGAACGGGGTTCCAGGAGCATAAATAATAACTGGAAGTGGATTTTAAAAATCTGTTTTCAGAAGGAGGGTGGTGCCGTTTACCGGGAAGAAGTGGCTTTCCGATCATGGATGTGGAGGTTTGCGGGGGGGGGGTGTTTTAACGACTCTCTTACTTCATTCCCCTTTCCCTTCATAAGGGTGAAGAAGGATCCTTAACAAACAGATTGGGTTATGCAGTATTTTGATTTGCTGTTCAGGAACGAATTAACCTCCGTTTCCACCCCCATATCTATTGAGCTCTGTTTAAGACTGGCATTAGAAAAGGCAATAAACCCTGTGCATCTTTTAACACTAATAAGCCGCCGCCGCCGCCGCCACCAACCACCTCTTCCGGGCCCGGGATACACGTGATCTGCTTTCTCCCATTTTATTGGCTGAGGTAACAGCCAATAGGAGCCGCCGTCTCCCAGCAGCTTATGCGGAAGTGAGGTACTTATACGGAGAGGAATGGTTTGAAGACGCGAGTAGGGTGGGTTAAGAATGTTGTTAGTTTCCCGGGGATGTGTGCAAGAATTGGAAGGAATAATGGATGTTTCCTTCTTTCAAGAAGGACATTCGTGTTTAATTGTGGGTATAGCTAGACCGCGGGAAGCATGTGTGCTAAAAATGCCCCGACTGCTCTCTACGCTATGTCCTCTCAAGGACAATGGGCTGAACTAGACCCTTCGGATGCACGAAAGGGTGGCGGGTTCTGCACCTCTGAGCTTGGAAACTGGTGGACTTAAGTCATGCGGTGAGTTTCTGCTTGTTGCGTTTGTGTGTGCGTGCGTCGCTCTTCGTTCTTCACATGCCTTTAGGTCACTTTTACTTCGGCCGAAATCGTTCGATGGGTGAGTTTACACATCTTGCGTGTGTACAATAGGTCCCATTTTAAAGTGAATGTTTTTTTTTTTATTTTCGAGCTGGACTTTTATACCTAGACGAGATTTCTACTTGTAAAATCTTTTGCTTTACCGACGAACCGCCTGTGCAATCTGAATTTTTACAAGAGTGTTACTTACACAGGTCCCCACCGGCCTCGGCGCGTTTTTCAAGAAAACCCCCCAGCAAGACACCACGTGTACCGTCACTGTGCGAGGACATGTTGTACGTGTGTCGTCCCAGCAGGCGGCGCTGGTTGCTTTCAATAAAGGTAAGGTTTCACGAGAAGCATGCCGTTTTCAACACTGGTCTTCTCCAAAATTCCTGCCTCCGCATCTCATTCATAAAATATCTGGTGCTGTGCAATGTATGTTTGGTGATGGTGCATTTTTTTGTGCCCTTGGTTAGGAGGGTTTGACATTAATCTCCCCCATCCCTGACTGTAGGGATGTTATTTTATGACCATGTCGTCTTGGGGGGGGGTCGGTCTTCTGTTATTCCCTTAACTGTGTCCTGTGCTTTCCTGCTGCTGCCAGGTTATTTCAATGTGGTTCAGGGGATGATGGAGTTGATCAGACCCAGGTCTCCTAGGCAGGAGGCTATCTACTGTGGCTCTCCTTTTGTGCCTCAATATCCCATGTTATGTGTGCCTGCAAGGTAGCTGCGAGTCAATCGGTGTACAACCGACTTGCGTCATTGTGATTAACTCCGGACACGTAGTGCTCTGTGGTCCTGGTGTTGTGTGTGTGTGTGTGTTGTCATGGATCTTAGTGTGAAGTACTGATCACTTGCAGCTGTTGTAGCCTGTTGGGATGGAAATACTAAGCTGTGGTGCTCGCTGCCAGACTTTGCCTTAACAGACTTTGTTAGGATGTGTGTTCCATTGTAATTTGAAATGTGCATAATGTGTGACCTGCTCTTCACCTTGCAGACCCTGTTTCTGGAACTCTCAAAGACAAGTTCCTGATATTGAGGAAACCTGGCTTCTCTAAAGCCTTCTGCACCCGTCCTTTATGCTTCTTGGTAAGAGCCTGTTTCTGTGCGAGTAAGTTGCATCCATCCTCAACCTCTGATCTGAAGAAGCATCATTCTTTATCTGAAGTAATATGCGGGACACCATAGCAGCTTGATATAGTGCTGGTGTTCACTGATACAGGATTGAGCTGCCTAGAAAAAAAAACACTTCTCCTTCAGGAGTGTAGGCAAAGGGTGAAAGGTATTCCTGGATTTAATCATTTTTCCTCCTGATTGGCTTAAGTTAAGTGGCTTGTTTAACATAATCTAATTTGGTCTGGGGAAATGGCTACTGTGTTGCTGGCCCTGTTTGTCAGGGTTAGCCATGTATACTGTAGCCTGCCCCTGACCTAGATTATACCAGGGTAGTGTACTCTGGCAGTAGCAGGTGTGAGCATGCAGTCAGCTCTTTGATGCTCATGTATAATACTGCACACACTACTTCAAATGCTTCGCACAATGGCAGCATTAACAAGGATTTGGAGATATTTAGGCCTCTTTTGTCTGCAGTGTTTGTTTTAAATCACATGATGGCCCTTTAAACGTATCGTAAGATGATTTTTTTTTTTTCCCTTTCCCCAGTTAAAAACGCAAGGCGGTGCCCAGGCTGCTTTTTGCTTAATTTTGCAGGCGCTCCATAGGTTCTCCAGCCATTTAATCCTGAGCTGTTTATTTTAATCAATATTTGACTGGGAATACGAGTACCAAAGACAACTTCTCAATGGAATGGAGCTGTGTGATGTGTTTGAAATAGTCAATCATTCTAAATCTAAAGGGTGGTGAGTCTCCTTCAAATAGGAAGCAGTTGAAGACTGGGGGACTGCTAAAGGGAGGTGGGCAAATACAAAATAAAATACAGCAAGATGTACATCTAGGGCTGCTTTCATTTTCCCTGAAATGTCGGGGGAAATCTGACCATCCCATTAATTTTCCATTAAGCTGAATTTAAAAACCCTTTAAACTCCTTTTGGGGAAAACGGTGTAAGAAGGTAAGAAAGACACTTTACTAGAGCATTACGAATGGATTTACATGCATGGGTTAACCGTCTTTGTTTAAAAAAAGACATGCCTGGTTGGGTTACAGTTCTGTTTTGCTTTGGGAAGGGGAAATGTCAATAGAATGCTAGTCTCTCCTGGATCATTTCTGCGAACTCCTGCCAACAGCACCACACCCAGTCACACATGCAAATATTGAAGGCGGTGGTGTCAAATGGCAGTGGTGCTGGAGGTTGGCAATTTGCTCTCTTGTTTCACCCATGTTTGCAATCCCTCTAGTAAGTGGGGTTCATTATTCAGCTTGGGCAGCTATGCTGTTTTATGTGCAAACTTCAATGTCTTCTTAGGTACAGTACTCTGAATATTCAGTTCTCTCTGCTTTTCCCAGTGAGAGAGGTGGCGGTAGTTCACATTTTTAAATCGCCAGCTGTAAAAATATGGGGAGCTGGGGGTGCTCACTTTGAGTATCTCCGTGAAGTTAAGCAAGTCTGACTGGAAGCGCGGCTCTCCTGTAGACTTCAATTCCTGGAGAAGGGACGGCGTTTAGCTTCTAAGGCAGAGGTCTCGGACGTGATCCCTAAGGGGCCTGGTGTCTTCTGGTTTATGTTCCAAACTAGTTATTTTCCTGGAGGACGAGGGTGGTTTTTAAGATCTTTTGCGGTTGATTACTGAAAATGTTAACTTCATTTAAAGGCACGAAACGCCTGGCTGGAAGTGTTACAGCAGTGCCGCTGATTAGACCAACTGTGTAACGGATCTTGGATGACGTGAGGCCCAGTAGGAACTGAGTTTGAACCCCTGATTTAAAGCACATGATCATCTACTTTCTGGTGTCATGCTAGTGTGTGTGTGTTTTTTTTTTTTTCTCCATGGAACTAAATCAGCCAGTTCTTATTGTAGGTTACTTTAAAATGGGTAACTGGGTGGGTCGTGCAAATAGTCATTTCTAAAACAGTTTAGTTCTTCGTCTAACAAAAATTGCTTGTTTTCCCACTTCTCTACAGGGAATTACACCTGGGTCTTGTTGGAAACCGGTTCCTGGTAATATAGGCTGGCAGCTGTGCAGGACCCTCCTTGGGACTTCCAGTGTTGGTGGAAAGATTCTGTTCAACTGCAGTTTGTGTCAAAGGATACGACCAATGAGCTGTGACTGTTTTTAACAAGTTCTGTCTTTACCCATATACAAATGCTGTATTGAGGGAACTAGACTGGAAATGTTTCTTCATTTACAGAACAGGAAGTGGAGTTTCTTTTTGCTGTTGTTCCCTTTCTAGCATTTTGGCTTCTGTTTTTGCAATGGTGACAATTGCACTTCTGTTCAAGGCTACATATTGTCACCAAGCTGATACAGTAACTGATAAGAAACATCCCAGTCCACTGTTCTTTTTGGTCGTTTGCATCTAAATGCAATTAAGTGGAAGGGGTATTGTACTATAGTAATGTAAGATTAGTTGTATAGGATGTCCTTAAACCAGACTACAATCTATGAATGGTTAAATGTATGTGTGTTATCCCCCAGGAACTCTGACACCTTCTATTAAATTGCGCTAGGAGTCTGTCAAAACCTGTTAACTCTGAAGAGCGCAGGGACATACAATAGGTTTCTCTCAACATCTAGGAGGAACA